TTGGGGAGCTTTTGGTCGTGAAACTCCTGGCATGTGCTGTGGTCGATGATGGAGCCAATGTCCCAGAAGCTAGATCTGTCACAGTTCTTTGAAGGTCTTCGATCATTCTCTTTAGCTCAGAAGTAGTGGGTTCACGGGTTTGAAATAACTGGGTTCCCAGATCGGATGTGCGGCAAGTGACCTGGGTGGGTGTGGCACTCCAACATCGGTATCACCCCGTAATGTGATTCCTTGGTCTGATGCGGTTGCCATAACCATAATTTCTTCCAAATTGTGCGTCATCACGAGTCTGCTGATGATGTGACTGGTGACTGTCGGATCAGATGAACAAAGTGAACCTTATCTGGCCCTCTTTTGCCTTACCTCAGCGAAGAAACACTGATTTGCCCTTGAACTGAATTTCCGACCTGACAAAGTCTATCAACACGGACCCAATGTACCCGGGGGATATCGGAGCCTTCTGAAGCTATAGTTCCAGGATTACCTAGCAAAAGAGTGCAGCATCTCAGCCTGATTTCCTAGAACAGATTTGAGCGTAGTTGAATGAGTGTGCTCTCTACTGAATTCTGCCAAAATTTCTGCCCCTACAAACTGATACCCTCAGGTAAAACTGATTCCCAAATACCGATGGTAATGCCCGCAGTCCTGATGCCTAGACTTGCAAACTGATACATGCATTCCTATAGAGATGCACTCTAAAGTACATAGCAGACAAGTGAGAGCCAAAACACCCCTATGTTGGGGTAGGGTTTCCCTGTCCTATTTTGTCAGGAGCTAGGGTTTTACTACGCACACAGCGGTTTCAAACAACCTATGATCGGGTAAGCAACCTGTCCTAGTTTGGAATGGTCACTATGGATCCGAATATGCACTAGGTCGAATGGTCAAAGAGGGTGCCCCGGTAAAACCGGGGTTTGTGTTCCCATACTGGCAGAGCCCACAACCGGTCAGCCTTATGGTCATGCCTTGACAAAACAAGCCTCCGGCAAACCGTTCAGGAATAACAGATGGCAAACACGGTGTCCTAGGCACACCAATGCAAATGCAATGCAAAGAAACACACAAGCGTAGTCAAAAACAGATATCAAGAGTTCGAGTCAAGTTCTCTAAATCCCCAGCAGAGTCGCCAGAAACTGTAGACGTCCCCGAACGCCCCGGGAGGAACGAGCTCCCGTTCTCCCTCCATCGGATCACAAAGTCCGAGAAAGA